CCTTTTTTGTGTTTGTTAGGCCTAGCCTACTCTCTTGTAACACCTTCTAGATTTGGATCTAGATCTAGATCTAGATCTATATATTTAGATTCTAGATCTCTATAATCTTCGGCACTTAGATCTAGATCTAGGTTATAGATCTATGAACTTATTGCGTTGTTGCAAGTGCCGTTAAACAGTTAGATCTAAATCTAGACCTAGATTCTAGATCTAGATCTAGCCTAGAGATTCTAGATCTAGATCTAGATCTAGATTCTAGATCTAATATAGATATATAATCTAGATCTATATCTAGAGATTAGATCTAGAATATCTAGATATAGATCTAGATCTATATTTCTAGATATAGATCTAGATCTATATTTCTAGATATAGATCTAGATCTATATTTCTAGATATAATCTAGATTTCTAGTTTAGATCTAAAACTACCCCCCCCCCAAAGAAAAGGAAAGAAAACGAAATCTGAAGAAGCTGTTGTATATCTATTAAATAATTAAGCTCTTTCCTCTTTCCTCTCCAGAGCCCTCCAAAGAGGAGCAAAAAGAAGTGACTTCTGCTGACGTTGCCGTTGACGGTAAGTAGATAAAGATAATATCTACATATAATCTAATCTAGATTTCTAGATCTACGTGTATCAAAGTCTGTTGGTGGGTGGTTGGCGGGTGCTCTGGTGTGGTTCGCACCTTCTTTCCTATCAAACATCTAAGATCTAGATCTAGATATCTAGATCTAGATCTAGATATATATCTAGATCTAGATATCTAGATCTAGATCTAGATATATATCTAGATCTAGATCTGTCCTCCTGATCTCTCCTCCTTTTTTGTGTTTGTTGTTACTCTCTTGTAACACTTCTAATCTTCGAGAGAAGGAGTAGAAGAGTCATAACAGCAATATCAAGAACAATAGTACTAACGATAGAATTGATTTGAGTAAAATAATGAAATAATATTAAAATAATAAACGCAGTAATATTATTATAAATCAAAATGTCTAAAAGGACACTACTTGGAATCTGCTGATTGCATGGGATCAGATACCTTGTATGAATACGTTAAATTAGATAATTCAATCCATACAATTTGAAGTTATATGTTCAGATCACCATCCTTTTTTTTCCCAAGAGGAAAGTAGATGTCTATTCCCATTTTGTGTTTGATCGTTCTATTGAGTTACATCTATAAGACAAGGCCACCTCTATTCTCACCCGGAGTGAGAATAGTGCAGGCGAGTCTTGTGGCTATTCTCACCCGGTGCGCGTTCACCAAATTTT